GCTTGGAACACGCTGTTGGAGCGGTTCCGTGCCGCCGCCCGCGGGTGTGGGTCCCTGGGGTCAGGGTGGCTGTAAGCGCGGGTGTCCCGCGTCCGGTTTCCAGGCCGGATTGCAGTCATCTTCTCGTTTTATTACGTGACTTTCTCAGGTTATTCCAAGTCTCCTTCTGATTCGTGAATTTTTCAATTTGATGATTGGAGGTATAAAGACTTACACTGGAAAGCAAAGCGGCTTTAGGTTCTAACACCGGCACGTAGCTAAATGTATGGCGGAGGCTCGGGTTTTGCAGGTGTGAAGGCATCGCGCTTAACCATCCGATTGGGCTCGACTGCTGATGGCGATGCTTTGTTCCGGGCTCTCTTAAAACTAACAAGGTGATAGTCACTACAACTTGGGGTTCTGCTGTCTTGCAAGCAAGTACAGATTACAGGTAGCTTTTAAAGAAGCTGAGAAAATGAATTTTACTGCATTTGCTGTTACCAGGTATTTTAAGACCCCAGAATGAAGGCCTGCAAGTAATTTGTGCAGGGTGGCATGAAATACTGCGAGTCCTGGAAAAATCTTGCCTGTGAAAGAGGCCCTGCATGATTGAATCACAAAAAGCTGTGTTCAATCGGTTGTTTAGACAATCAGAAGGGTGACCAATGCTTCGGGAAATGCATTGTTGCAGAGATGGAGAAATAAACAACTTAAATGTATGTGGTTGGACGTAATGCGAAAGTAGGAACTGAAGTTCCAGAACCTGATAAAGTTTTCTTACTGCGAAGCGATGCTTGCAGCTTGTTTGGATGCCATCTAAATGATGAGCGAGCAAGCTGAATGTTGCACTTGTGCAGATAATCTTGAATATTTTGATGTTTACTGGAACACTAAGGGAGCACTGGTATTTCACCACATGGCATTTTACTTCTGTAGTTATTGAGGAGCCAGGGAAAGTACAAATTAAACAAATATTGGATATTGGAAAAGTATGAATAGCCTAGGAATTTGGGGGATTTCTGTGCTGCTGTGAAGAGTGACCGTTGATTTATACCATCCTACCCTGTGGTAGTTTGATCAAGCATGTGAGGAGATGCTGGCACAATAAAACTACTTTTTCTTATTAAGGAGCGGCCCAGACACTTGTCCTGAATAGAGACAAAGCAGCTTGGGATCCCAACGAGGCAATGCTGATCTAACAAATGTTTTACTCTTTAACGAGAGTGAAAGTAGGTAGTTTGAGTTGTGCTGTTGGAGTAAGGGTAGTATTCCTGACTAATGCTCCTTTGTGTTAAGTATTTACTCTGTTCCTTAGGTTATCTGTGTCTTGAAATACATATAATTACTTCACTGAAGTGGTCTTGAAGCCTAATTACGTGTTTTATAAAGCAGCCTGTGATCCTCTGGTGAACGGGTGGGTGACTTTTTCCCTTCCTGTAGTGTGAGGAAATCATGCACTACATAATTATTTTGTCTGATTTTTGGTGGCGCAAGCAATTTCTGTGCCACTCCTCTCAAGTATTCCGGACACATTTATTGATTGTTAGGCTGACTAGTTTATAAAATATATCAACATAACTATTTTAAACTTGTAAGCACCAGCCTCAGTGTTCCAGTTAGAAACTTCACTCTATAATCACTAACTTTGTTAAAAGTTTAACCTATTTTTTTTCTATAATGTTGCTTTCTTTAACTGAATGTAAAAAAATTAAGAAAAAATAAAATCTCTGGAGTCTGCCTTATTACAATATGTAATAGTTAAAAATGGTGTGGATAAAATTACATAAATTATGTAACCTAGTTTTTGACACTCAAAAGTCTCATCTGATTTGTACAAGAGAAGACATTTTCTAAAACCATGTACAAGTGGTGTATTTCTGAGCCTCTAATAATACAGCTCCTGACTGGATCCTTGTGGGAGGGAACTATTTATAGATGTCCATTCATTAAGTTTGTCATGCAAGAATCCTTTTGATGTGTTCCATTGAAGCAAAGGTTTTATAAGTGAAAGAAAGCTCTATTTATGGTGTCTTCAGAACTGATTTGATTCTTTGCAAAAAGCTTGACACATGTTTTCAGTTTGGAAGTATCCTGATTAAATTTCAGCTATGATTGATTTTCTTGTTCTCTACAAAGTTCACGTTAAGTTGCCTGCCTTCATTTCTGACTCTGTTTTTTTGTTTGTTTAATAGCAAATTTCTTATTTATGCCTGCCTGCTGCTTTTTTCTGTGTTGCTCTCCCTACGCCTGGATGACAAAATTCAGTGGAGTTACTGGGCTGTATTTGCTCCAATATGGCTATGGAAGTTAATGGTGATTGTTGGTGCCTCAGTGGGAACAGGAGTATGGGCTCGAAACCCGCAGTATCGGTAAGTTGAAGATACTTCTTTTGCAAAACAGAGGGAACATAATGTGCTTTCTCTACTGAATCAAATTCATAAATATGTTTTTTTAACAAATGAAGATACAGCATTCGGGAGGTTTGTTTTTACCATATTTAAAATAATTATCATAACACATAGTGTATGCAAACGGTTTTATGCACCTATGGATGTCTTAGTCATAGTTGCAACAGTTTATCACAGGCTTCAACAGTATTGTCTTTGGAAACGAAAACTTCTCATGGAGTGACTTTTTGCTGTTAGAACATTGGGAATTATTTGATTTAGTATAAGCCATATAGAAATATGTGTCTTCATATGTGCTAGGAATATACTGTATTTAATTGGATTATTTTCAAAATCAGTTTCTTGAAATGTGCGGATCAGCCTGAAGAATGTGGATTCCACACTCCACACCCCCCTTGGTGTGTGTATAACCTCAGTGAACGTACGGATGAATATTCAGCGATTCTTGAATATGCAGTGAACATAGAGAATTTTTTTCCAGACTTTAGTGGCAGTTTTATAAGAAATATTCGAGTAGTTTAATACACTAATATAGGCAAATGTGTAACATTTGCAAAGTAAGATGTTTGTGGGAAGAAATTCTGTAAATTCCTTTTCATTTTTGTCAAAGTTGTTTAATGTTGATATTTTAATTGTAAGTCTATGGTAAAATAATTTTCAGACCTTTAGATACATCAGTTTTACTTTTTTGGTAATTCAAGTAGAATGTGAATTTGGACATGCTAGGGGAAAAGGAAAAACTACCCTAAATGAAGTGAAATAAATTCAATCCTCTTTTCAAACTATGGTGAATAGTAAATGAAAAAATGTGCATAGGTCTCATTCCGATACACTGTATTGTATGGTTCAGGTCTTGCTTGCCCCTTCTAGTAATGGTTTTACTTGTGTAGGAAGAAGTGTGGTTTATCTGTCTGTGCTGTTGTTTTACAGGCATTTTACTTTTGCAACAGAATATTATCTATTACTAAATACACTGATTTTGGTGAATAAAGACATTCTGGGGAAAGATGTGGATTCAATGACAGCTGGTGCAGGAACCAAATGGTTTTAGACTTCACTTACTTCCTAACAGCCTGCATGATACCTGAGTCTTTACATAGTAGCAAAGAAATCCTGTTTTGTCTGTGCAGCTATGGAATCCTTAGAAAATTTTCAAGTTGTAAAAATCCCACTGCCCACTTTGAGGGAAAGTACTTTAAATGTGCAGCATTATGGGCAAGAAATCCTGTTATGTCATTAGGAGTGTAGTTTAATAGTGGCTGGGCGTAATGTCTTATGTTTGTTAGGAACAAGATTTAATACCTGAGACTTATCAATGGTAAACAGAGTGTGCTTTCTCATTGACAAGTGAACTGAATGCTTCCCTATTCTCTCTTTAGAGCAGAAGGAGAAACCTGTGTGGAGTTCAAAGCTATGCTGATTGCAGTAGGCATCCACCTGCTGCTGCTGATGTTTGAAGTTCTGGTGTGTGACAGGATCGAAAGAGGAACCCATTTCTGGCTCCTGGTCTTCATGCCATTATTCTTTGTATCTCCAGTGTCGGTGGCAGCTTGTGTGTGGGGATTCCGACATGACAGGTCCCTGGAGGTAACGCTTCGTTTGTTGTGTGTGAAATTTGTGGTGATGCAAGACTCTATATCGATTCGGTTCCAGTTCATCTCCCAGTAAAGCATGATATGAATGACTGCATCACTTGAATTAACTTTTTGCACTGACCTGCTAGAGTGAAAAATCAGGATCAGGAATAATGCAATTTTTTCTGATCTCTTCTGGTTTGTTTTTTTTTTTTTTTTCCAACTACCAAACTGCAGCATGTTTTAAACTTGCCTTTTTCTTATTGTGTGTTAAAAGAACTCACCACAAACTCTGCAATGTGGACTAACACCAGACACTTAAACGGAAATTACTGAAGAAAATTCCACTGATAGTAAGCACTGTCCCTAGGCAGAATTGAACTTTCAGAGCCCTAGATAATCAGGGCTGGAAATTTCTTACTATCCCAGTCTGTGTACTTAATCTTTAATTTGGGAATGCAGATGGTAGGTGTAAAACAGTAGTGTTTTATTTTCTGCTGCTATCTTTTTTCCTCTCTAACTCGCTCCTTTTGGTTTTGGAAGGACTTCACAAGGATTCTCAAGATCCTCCCACAGTTGTGGCATTTTGCAATAAACTTAGGATTCTTACTGAATTGATTTTTTTTTTAAGGATTTTTTTTTTTGCTATGTCCTCAAACTACCCCATGACAATTAAAAATCTGATTTTTTTAGATGAGGTTCAGCTTTTTCAGGTTTTTTAATTTCAAGGGCATATTTCTCTAACATTTAGCATAAGCTGAGTTTCTTTCTAGAGAGAGAAACATTTTTGCTAAGTGATTGCTAGGATGGCTGGTAAACTTAAATACCTTAAATTGTTGATTGAAAACTATTGCAAATAGAATTTCATTTTGCGGAGTTCTATTCAGTTAACCATTCCTAAAAGTAAAATGTGTAGAAGTACTTGCCTTCTACTGGATGGTGCTTGATTACCCACTGATTTACAGGTGACTGCACAGCTGCTAAGTTCTGGCAAAAAAAAGTGGAATCCACTCACCCCTAAAAGACAACACCTCTCTCAAAGAAAATAAGTTACGCAGTTGAACTGTCAACTCATTTTTTACTAGTTTGTCATCTTTGCTTACTGCTGTTCTACTTTCTTTTCTTTTTACTCTGGGAAGATTTATTTCCCTTTCATTTGCTAGAATCATAAGAGAGGCCTGTCTTTAATCCAGGATATTAATTTTTTGTATGAGTAATCAAAGTAGTTGTTAATCTATTACTATTTTCATAATTATTCAACCTGAAAATATATTGTCTGCTTGTTCCTATTCTGTAACTGGTTAGGTGATCAGTAAATACATAGTGGGGTTTTGTCTGTGTATTACAGTGGGCTCAGAAAAAGCTCTCTTTTGTGTTACACTGTTTTTACAGTCAAAGCACCATTTATTTAAGGCATATTGAATTCATTAAGTTGTGAGCCTAGCCACTCCAAATATACATGCGCTTGTCATATATAGCTCAAATGTTTACTTGATTCTAAAAATTACTTAAAACAATTGATCCTCTGATCTCCTTATTTTTCTGCCTATTTGTTCTTGGACATTCCAGGTTGCTTGGTCTTATGCTTGTGCGGGGGATTTTATGCTGGTTTATTCTTTTGAAAAAGCCAGTGGTACAAAATTATTTTAAATCTAGTTTTCCAGTCTCTTTAAAGTAACCTGTACTTCGAAGACTTCAGTGCAGTCTCTGAAGTAGGCAAGTGCCTGGGGCCTGTTAGATTTTTGACTCCCTGTACTATGAATTTCAGAGGCATTTATCCACGACATCATAGTACACAATCTGATGTTAGTGAAAAGTAGAGTGTAGTGTCTGCCTTCTGAGAAATAGTACATTTCAAAGATGCCTTACATACCTACATGAGTTTTTTTAAATGGAAAATGTTTCTTACACTCAAGAGCTTCAGTTAGTCTTTTCAAATAATAATTTTCTGTTTTATCTTTGATATTCCTACCCACGTAGGGTTGCCCATAACTTTAGAAACAGAATCTTGCCAAGTCTGCTGGTTTTTCATTTTTTCATTTTGTTCAAGCTAGTCAGAAACTTGGTTTTAAAAGTATAATATAGGGTTAGTTCTCATAGTGGAAAGCGGCACATGCAAAAAGCTTTCATTGACATTTTTAATGAGAAGTATTGCTTTTCTGTATTGCCTCAAAACCCAAGTGTCTTCAGCGTCATTTAAAATATCTCTCAATTATACAGTAAATGATTGAATTTGAATGTCATTTTCCACTATTCTATGTATTTCTTTTCCTCCCCAGATAGAGCTGGGACTTTTAAACTGGCCAGTTGGTAGTTAAACCCATGCAACTTTCATCTGTATATTACTGCAACTGCTAAAGGATATCTTTAAAGATAAATTTTCCTAATTTTAAATTGAAGGACTCTTTACTACTTGTTAGTTTAATTCTAGCAGTATTCCTTTCCTGAAGAAAAGTGATAGGCATGGAGTCAGAAAAGTCCTTTGACAGATTCTTTGGTTATCCTGGAAGTAGCTTTATCATGCTAAGAGTTAACTAATGTATTTTCTTTTTCTAGTTGGAAATCCTGTGTTCAGTCAACATTCTACAGTTCATATTTATTGCACTCAGACTAGACGAGATCATCAGATGGCCGTGGCTTGTATGTAACAAGTGTTTTCTTCTTATCCTTGTTCAAATGCTGAATTTCATAAAGCTATTTACTATAGGGAACAGTTAATGTATGATTAGAGTCCATGATCACGTTTTTGCTCATTCAGTGGTCATGGGAAACAGGCTGTTCTTTGGGCATTTCATCCTTTGGGGGAGAGGGACATGCTATCAACTGCACTTAATCTCTGACTGGTTGTTGAAAGAGAAATCCTAACCACAAGTTTCCAGTGGGAACACTAAACTAGCCATGAAAATGACTGGTGAGTTGGGGAATGTGTTGGTAAATATGGTGTGGCAAATAACTAGTTTTATTTTTGTGTTACCATGCACGTAAATCCACTTGCTGTGCAAGTGGTCACTGTCAAAACTGCTGAGATCATCTGTCCCAAATGCCTTTAGAATACAAACCCACTGTTTCTGTCTGGCTTTTTGTAAACTACTATAAAACTGATAATCTAGCATGATTATGACTGTCTTATGTATTTCCCAAGAAACTAGGAAAAGGATCTAATTTAGAAACTGTTTCGAGTAAGGTGTCCAGTGTAGAAAATAATTGCTAAAATCAATTTCAAGTACTGTTTGAGCGCATGCAAAAAAAATCACAGAAGTCCTAATAAAGTTGAACTATATTGACTTAATTTTAAATTGTTTCAGCTTGATGGACTTCACAGAGCTAACTGAGGAACCCCAAAGAGCTGCTATGGCTTGTAACAGTGCACGCGATTTGTGAAGCTTTTCTGTTAGAGATTATATTAGTTAAAGAGCATTACACTTAAATTTCTTGTTTAGGCTTAATATGTAGACTTGCTTTATTTAAAAAGTGCACACCTGAAACAAATCAAACTGATAAAAATGTATGACTGTCGGAGGGGGGAAAGCAGTTAATTTCTTTTTCTTTCAGGTTGTTTGTGTTCCACTGTGGATCTTGATGTCCTTCCTCTGTCTAGTAGTGCTCTATTACATCGTATGGTCTGTTCTGTTCTTGCGCTCTATGGATGTGATTGCTGAGCAAAGGAGGACACACATAACAATGGCTGTCAGCTGGATGACAATTGTAGTTCCACTGCTCACATTTGAGGTAGGAAAAAGCATAACGAGTTTTATGTATCTTGTTCTTTTTTCAGTGAGTGATGAATGTCGCTCTCTTTTTTTAACTTACTAAAATGAGAGCACCACTTTTTGTTTTGGAATAAAATACTAACAGCAAACATGAAAGAAAAACAAGAATTCTACAGGGGGGTTTTTTAAAGTTTTTTGAGTAAAACATGCATCACATTGGAACTGTAACTACATGTTTCTGTGGAGGCCATTTTTCTTCACAGACGGGTGAAGTTAAAGATCTGAGATAAGCATATGTTTTAAGAAGCTTGAAAGTGAGTATTGCAATTAAACTGACGTTGCATATTTTTTATTTTTTTTCCATTTAGATCTTACTAGTACACAGATTGGATGGGCATAATTCTTTTTCTTTTATACCCATATTTGTTCCTCTCTGGCTTTCACTGATAACTTTAATGGCAACAACATTTGGACAAAAAGGAGGAAATCACTGTAAGTATCTAAAAATCATGGAAACGGCTTGAAACTCAAGGCTTAAATGTGCTTCATTAAGATTTGTATTTTCAAAAAGGGCTTTTTTGTGTTTATTCTCTCACGAAAGAATTCAGATGTTTGTTACTATTGTTTTCACATTATTTTAGTAAGTTTTCAGTGTTTATAGTGTCTCTTGATTTTTTTCATATTCCTCTAAGAGCATAACTTCTGCTTGGACTCAACTTGAAATTTTAGCTTTTTATCCTTCCTTATTTCCATGGATTTCATTCTCATGGGACATGACTGGATCTTTCTACTCTGGGTTCTGAAAATAGTGTAGCACCTACCACTTTTAATTAGCATTTGTCCTAGTAGCCTGAACTAGTATTCTTTTCTCTTTGGCCAAACAGCGCTCTGCGCTGCTTAGTTGTAACTTCAGTTGCCTGAGTGGCCAGTGTAGAGTTACGAAGCTTTTATCCCCACCACAGCTAGCACTGCCAAAAGGAGCCTTTGCACTTTCAGCCATCTAATGTTACTGAACCAGTGCAGATGAGTAGCTCTTCACATTGACATTGCAGTTCATGTTCCATGTTGAAAAGGCAATAAAATTTGTTGGGGTTTTTCAGAGTTGAAAGGAACCGGCTGTGATGGATGTTATACAAACTCCAGTTCTGGTCTGACTGTGAAGTATATTTGAGAATTTCTTTATTTGGTCATGACTAAGCTTATCTCCATACATTTAGTTTACTTTTATATTGTTGTTATTGCATGGAAAATTGTTACTGGTGATATTTATTTTTTTGATGCATGTCTTTGATAATTTATGGCCACATTAGTCTTTTGGAAAGCCACATGTCCATTTTGTATTGTCAGGTTAATGAATATTTATGTAAATTTTCTAAAAAGACTGTTCATCTGAAGTACGCCTTGGAAGACTTGCTTAAAAATCTACCTTTAAAGTGCTAAGCGAAATGCACCGGTTGTCCAGGAAGTATAATCTCTGCAGAAAGATGGGTTGCGTGGGGTCTTCCCTGGCAAACACTTGAAACTTTGGTTTTGTTCAAAGATTTGACTAGGGCAGGCTGTTCCTTTTAACACTGACCTTTGGTGTTGATTAATAGAGGAGTGCGATCTGCTGAATTACAAGTGCCACTCACTTAAATGCTCTCTTTTCAAGTCTTTGCATATAGCAAAATAGGTGACAAACATAGAATGTGTACTGTTTTCTTATCTAGCGCAGGTAATACCAAGGATAAGATGCTCCTGGCATCGCATATTTAGCCAACAACAAAAGTTTTGGGGGAATACTGAATACATACATTACTAATCTATGTCTGCCTATGCCATCACATTCCCTCTGGTATTGTAACCTATAAGTACCAAACAAAAGTTGCCATGAATGTCTTCCCACATGACACCGATTTGCTTTGATTGAGATGCAAAGTCCTTTTTGTGTTCTTTCCCCGTGTACTGATGTGACCTGACACTGCTTAACATGTGAAATGAAATAGAGTCTTGCTGTAGTATATAGCTGTAACTTATACATGTGAATATACGCACACAGACATTGCATGTACAGACAAGCAGATGCATGCAAATGCGTGTATATATTCTGTATGTATGTCTGTGTGTATTTAATCTCAACTGCAATGTTACTATGTGATAGGTGTAACACACTGAGAAGCAGCGATAACCAATTTTATATTGTTCATATGCAAACAATCATGAGAACTTAAACGAGGTTGCATAGTCTGCAAATTAAATTTTCATCCTGTTCTAAATAACGTGAAATGATTTTTTTTTTAGGGTGGTTTGGAATTCGCAAAGACTTTTGCCAGTTCCTGCTTGAAATTTTCCCATTCTTACGAGAATATGGAAATATTTCTTATGATCTTCATCATGAAGATAATGAGGAAACAGAAGAAACACCACTGCCTGAACCACCAAAAATTGCACCAATGTTTCGAAAAAAGACTGGAGTGGTCATTACACAGAGTCCTGGAAAATACGTGATTCCACCTCCCAAGTTAAACATTGATATGCCAGATTAAGATGACAGCAGAATATTAAACTTGAACTGGGAATCAACGGACAAATGTATTTCATCTCATGCCTTGTCCTAGTTACTTTAAAATAGGTATTGCTGAATCAGTGGCTTGGATTACACAAATCGGAGATCTTCAAGATAATCTGAGAGTTTTTCCAGAGATACATGGTGGTCTAATTTGTGAACCTTCCTAATGGGTCGGTTACACACTTGCCTGTATAGTATTTATATGAACATTTTAGCAGTGTAATATATTGTTTAAAAGTCTCGTTGTGTACAGTATAAGTATTATCTAAAAGTATTTTTTTAAAAACCCTGTATGAAATGCCTATGCTATTCCAGGTGGCTTTTAGGTCCTAAATATACGCTTGATTTCCATGTCTGTTTTAAATGCTTTGGGGGTGTCTTAGTACAGTACCTCTTCTACAGTACCACAATCATTGTCTTAACCACAGAGGCACAGGAGTGTTGTACTTAGGCAAGACTGGAAAGCTTTTTTGGGGGGAAATGGAATGTATAGCAACTTACGTGATGGTTTTGAGTTACCTATGTAAATTTTCATGTAAGTATTTCAACTTTTGCACTGGCTTGGGAGTTAAGTGTTGCTTTTCCAGTTTCATGTTTTAATTCTTCTTGAGCAGCGTGTACACCATTCTCCCATTAGACTGGCTGTTTAATAAGCTGTTCCCTTTTGCACTGCGCATGCAGTTTATGCTAGAAACATTAGCTGTGGTTTTACAGCTGTGGGTTAGCTGGTGTAAGTATCATAGCTTGGTCTTCATTACCAACTTCATGTTGGTGTAAATGATTAAACTTCTCAAGATAGGAACTCATTGGAGTTGGTATAGCATTTTATTGTTTGAAGACAGACCTCCTTTGACTGATTGTCTTGGATTTCCAGGGGTTTTAGAGAACTTTAGTCTTTGAAACCTATGCTCCAGTAGTTTATAACAACAGATGTCAGATACTCCCACATCCTTAGAGCTGCTTTTTGTGTTTAGGGGAACCTACAGTTTAGGTAACTGTGTATCACAGGTCATGTTTCCTTAGTGTTAGCAAGGCAATGAGATAAGAGCAAAGAGTCTATGGACACTTCTGCATGTATAAAAGGTGCACACCTGAAAAACTTCAGAGGTGTGGTGCTTTCATTTGTAACGTTGCAATCCTCCCTCTTCCCTGTGGACCAGGTACTGGCTGAAACCCAACACAGCACTGTC